CACGAGGAAATGAAGAATTAATCACAGTGTTTCTGAAGGGACGAAGACATCTGAAGTAAGGGGACAGTATTAACAGTTTGAAGGTCTTTCTGATGTCGCTAGGCAACAAAAAAGACAAGAAAAGCGTTAAAAACTCACACCTGAAGAGATGAAACCCTCAAGATCAAACGCTCACTAGCTCCTGCTTTTCATTTGCAGTAGGGCTGCACGATTTGGGGAAATAATCTAATTGCGATTTTTCTGACAGATATTGCGATTGGGATTCGATTTGCGATATTTGTTTTTAAGCGACCCAACGGAAGTTTATTGTAAAATGCGGCCATATCTCCAGCTAGGAAGGTCGCATCAACGTGCTCCCGTCTCTAGCACCCCCGCAGCCAGAGCTACGAGTGAAAGAACTAAACTTACATGAAACTTCCGTTGGGTTGCTTTAAAGTCAAGCTTCAGTTTAAGATTCACCCTGTAATAGAAACATGTGATGGAGCATTACTAACCTGACTCAGATGGTTTGCTTCACCAAAGCATCTAGGAAAGCTCCATTGGAAGCCATTTGGAAAATACTTGGCTGGTGATTGGACCAATCTGTCTATCACCTACTATCATGGGCCACTTCTGATTGGTTAACAATGGCTGGTACATGTGGAGCACAGCACTTCTGATTGGTGTGGATGACTGACACACAAGACATTTTTTTTTTTAATTAAAATAATTAAAAATAAATCGGAGGCTTTGCGATTTGATAATTGCATCATTTAAAATCGCGATTTCGATTTACAATCGATTAATCGTTCAGCCCTAATTTGCAGCTTTTCTCCGTTTTTAATCGTTGAAAAGGTTAAACGCCTTCGTACTTCATAAAGCAGAGGCTAGCATTTGAACCAAAATGTTACTGAACTCAAAGCTCTAACTGATAATTAATTGTTATTTCTGACATAGAACAATTATGTAATTATTCAATATATGACCAGTTATGAAACAGATTCCCCCAAATAACTGTACTTGTTTTGAAGGCCCTTCATGGTTACACATCTCCAAATGTGGTTAAGTGCTAGCTAACATTGGTACCAAAACGTTAGCGAATTATTAAAATCAAAGCTCAAATTTATATTGAATTACTATGTTCTGACATTTCATATAAAACTATCATCTTATTATTCAATAAATGAGCAGTTATGCAACAAATTCTCCAAAATAATTGTACTTGTTTTAAGGAGCTTGACGGTTAAACGCCTTCATACGTCATAAAGCAGAGGCTAGCATTTGTACCAAACACAAACTCATCATTAGTTGTTCTTTTCTGACATTTTATATATAAAACCATGATGTTATTATTCAATAAATGAGCAGTTGTGCAACAGATTCCCTCTGGAAACGGAGCTCAAACATGAAAGAGAACGCTCACAAAAGCCTCTCTTGATCTCAGATCAGCTGCAAACCAAGTGAACTGACCACAGATGTTTGGTGAAGTGCATTCTGGGAAACAACCCTCACGTATCCAGGAGCTGTTGAACTCAGACTCTCATGTACAGTTACTCTCAGAAATCAAATGTCTGTGAAGAAGAACAAGAGCGATAAATCCTACAGAGAGGATCAGACGGAGGTTTCTGAAACACAAAGATCGTTCAGGAGAAAGAGAGGTTTTAAAATAACTCAGAGGAGAATTATCAAGACCAGATGTGAGTGAAGGAAGCAGGAAGGAAACATGCAGAGTTATAAAAGAAGTGCTTGATTCCTACATCAATACAGACACACTTTATGACAGGAGGAAACAGGAACACCGTAGATTAAAAAAACACTTTTATCCTGTTTTTGAAATATCACACAGACCAAGTTTTAGCTTGAACAAGCATCGAAAGCACCTGATGAACTGTTGACAAATAACATGTATTATAATTATTATTATTAGCTCTTTATTAGTGACAGCCTCCTTTTAACCTTTATTATTCTTATTTTAATTTGTAGGTTGTTTTATTTATATTTATTTTATAGTTCTTTTTAATCTATTCTTATTCATTTTCATTATTATTTTTGTTCTTGTTTTATTTATTTTACATTTGATTGTATTTATTCCTTTTGTCTTACGTCTCCCTTCATTGTACCAAGAGGATTGTTGCACCTGGTGTATCAAAAGTGTTTTTCATCATGGTAAACTGAATTACTTGAGTTCACAATTTGCAAAAAGACAATTAGAAGATGCTGAATTGGGCTGAGGACACTTTCAATCACCATGTTTGCACTTAAATGTTGATTTATACACTGGAAAATAGTGTCTATAGGCGCTTTGACACCAAGTACTTTGCCGTACTTAGTTCATCAGAACTCTTTAGTTCACACCGGAATAAGTCCCTGAGGGAGGATTAGGCAAATGAAGCCGCTGACGTCACTTCTTCTTCTTCTTCTTCTGCTTTGGGTTTACTGGCAGGCCGCAAACAACTTCACGGCGTATACTGCCACCCGAAGTCCCCGGCCGGAAGTCCCCGGAGTTGGGGAAGGCTTCAGTAGAAGCTGCTGGGACTCCCAGCAGCTTCTACTGAAGCCTTCCGAGTAAATCGCCAGAACGCCGACACCTCCTCATCTCCCATGTTTTATTTTGTGTTGCCATAAGTTAGTCTCTCTGCGTTTGTGCGCTGGGCTAATGCTAATGCTAATAATGCTAATGCAAGCAAATAAAATGGCGGCTTCACAAAACGTTTTGGGAGTTTTACGGGGCGTGGTTTGCAATTCGCCCAGCCAATCAGAATTGGGAACCTTTTTCTCCCATGAAAGTCCCTGCTCTCTAGCAGTGACTAAAAAGGGGGTGAAAAGTTTCTCATTAACTAAGTTTTAGTTCCGGATGTTTTTGGTGTGAACGCACATTTTCGGAACGATATCGGAACTATACTGGGAAAAGTACTCCGGTGTGAAAGCGCCTAATAATGAAATAAAGCCATAGCTGCAGCCCTTATAACGTAAATGTAACATTCCTTAAGAGTTGTGTACTTCTTTTTGCTGCATATTCATGATTTAAGGGTTAATATGAAAGATATATCTTCTATTTACACTAGTTCTACCTAGATGCTGCTTGATTTCATGTCAAATCGGTGTACTTTTGGACATTTTTAACCCCGATTTAGACAGTTTTGATGCTTTATCTGCAGGCCGACAGTTGGAGGAATATCCTAAGAAGTTTGTTATTCTATAAAAACAAAGCTTTAGTGTTATTATTACCTTTCTCCCTCCCCTTCCTCTCCTCTCATTCCTCCCTGAGCTCCCTGCAGTGGAAACATTAAAATGCAATGCAGTCAGCTGTTTAAAATCCTCTGTCTTCTCTCTTTCTTTCTCCATACATGGCTGAGCTCTGAGGAAACGCAGCTGAAATCTGACACTGAGAGCGAGTCTGGAGCAATGTGACATATCAATCTGAAGAGGAGGAAGAGGAGGAAGAGGAGGAAGAGGGGCTAATGAGAAAATCAATACCGAGGCTGCCTTTCATGCATCTTGCAAAAAGAATATAAGACGCTGCAGTGAAATGGGAATCATGCATGGTGTCATCATGTGAACGTCGTGCTAACAGCTGCAGCTCAACGAGCATAATGTAAGGATTTTCCAACGTGCAGACAGAAGAAGAAGAAGAAGAAGAAGAAACTTCACTAAATCTGGAGAAAGACAAAGGATACATCTCTACAGCAGTCCTGTGATATTCCCCCTGAGAGCTACGATGCTCAGTGGAGACTTTTAAGTGTACTTTATGCTGCTTTGATGGAAGTATTAGTGCAATAATCAACAGAAAATATATATTCTAATAGCTAATTGCTCATATGTATCTGTTGTTATAGTCAACTGAATATGTTGGGTGTGTAACTAGCAAAAAGAGGGATTAAAATATGTTAAATTGGGCCCATGATACTTCCAATTGGCATTATTTTAGCACTTTACGTTGAATTTAAGTCCATTTAGACTTCCATGATGCTATATAAGTAGGCTTCTATGACAGTGTGTGATGAGTGTACTGTACTATAATCAAATAATCATCAAACTCTCTGTTTTTATCATAGTAAACTGAATATTTCTGCTTTGCCACGTGCAAAAAAACAATACTTTGGGCTCTAGAAACTTTCAGATGGCAGTATTTTTTATTTTGAGCACCTCAATGTTGATTCAAACATTGGAAAGGGCTGTCAATAATGAGATAAAGCCATGTCTGCAGCCCTTAATAACATTAATGTAATGGTCCTGGTGCATAGTACTGTAATGGTCCTGGTGCAGAGTACTGCTATGTTCCCATCTCCTATACTGCTTTTGTCTCTTTGCTATCATTGTAAACTACATATCCTGGGTCTGCAGTTTGCAAAAAAGGAATTTGAAGCCGTCTATTGACACTTTTTGATGCCATTATTTACACTCAAATGTTAACCAAAACATTGTTAAGATAGTCAATGGTCACATAATGCAATGGCTGCAGCCCCTATAAAGTCAATTTAACATTTGTGTCATTTAACTTGGTGCGTAGTAAGGATTTCTGATGGGTAATGATTCTACCCATGTGCCAGAAATAGTGATTTTAAGACATTTCGGTGTACTTTTTGACATTAGTAACCTCCATTTGAACAGTTTGAATGCTTTATTTCTAGATTTACTTAGGCAAAGAATTGGAGGAATACCATAAGAAAGCCACAGTTTTCCAAAGCATGCCACTTTTTGACATCTTTAACCTCCATTTAGACAGTTGTTATCCTTTATCTGGATGCCTACTTACATTTAAACAGTTGTAATGCTTTATTTCTAGATCTACTGACGAATAACATAAGAAAACCACAGTTCTTCCAAAACACCCCCCCCCCCCCCCCTCTCATCATGACTGTAAAACATGTGGACTTGAACTTGTGACATTTTGCGGCTCCACACTTTTTCCTCCACAAAAAGCTCCAGAGACACCGAGCAGCAGCGACTCAAACACCCGGCAGAGGAGCACCGGAGCCCGGGCACAGCGACCCGGAGCTCCCCGGTGAAATGTGACTCACCCTCGGATAACTCCAGCTCCAATTCGGCCAGTCTGGCCCGAACCTCCGCCGGCAGAGGAACCGGGTCCCGGTCCGCCATCCTGCAGCAACACACCGGGGTAAATCTCCCTTTTTCCCGGTGTTTATCCTGCTTTTTTGCGTGTTTTCTCTGCTAAACCTCCCCGAAATATCCACAGTGATTCAGGCTGAGTCTCTGCTCCGTGTGGCAGCAGCTGAAGGTCTGCAAACAGCTGCGTCAAACTGCGTAAAACCACGATGAAAGGTACTTCCGGTGGAATCATTAACAAAATAAAAGTCGGAGTGGTAGGCTTTTATTTTTTTTAAAACGTTGAGAACGTTTGGGTTTCAAAATACTTAATTACAAGTTAAGTTAATGTAATGATTAATTAATTTCACACAAGAAAAATTCCTACGTTAACAAAAATATTCAGATTGGTAGACTTTTATTTTGTTAAATCGTTGAGAAAGTTTGGTTAAAAAATAAATAATAATAAAACATCTTTAAAAAATCCTTATTAGCAAGTTAAATAATGTATTAATTAATACATTTCACACAAGAAAAATCCCTGCGGTAACAAAAATAATCCGATTGGTAGGCTTTTATTTTTTTAAATCGTGGAGAAAGTCCAAACATCTTTTAAAAATACTTAATTACAATTTAAATGAATGTTTAATTAATTTTACAGAAGAAAAATACCTCCATCAACAAAAAACATGTTAGAAATGTTGAAGATTAAGATATAAATAAATAATAATTAAAGGTATGTAAGAATGGAGAAAAAAATCTGCCATTTCCTTCAGTCTTCCTTACAGAGCCCCTTCTCCAACACACACGAACGCGCACATGACCAATGAGGGCACGAGATAAGTTTGTGCACGAGATAAGTTTGTGCACAGATGGAAGGCTGACAGGCAGGTAGGCCATCCAGTTATTTTAGCAGGGCCGGCTCAGATGATTGGTCGTGCTTTTTACAGTACTACGGCTTCCACAGATGAAATGTTGTTATGTATTTATTGTCAAAGCATTTAATGTATTCATTGCTATCGGGATGTTAAGAGCATTCCATGGAATATAACAAAAAGTGTTTCTGAAGTGAATTACCTACCCCACTTTTAAGAACTGTTTATTTGTAAAGTAGTAATGTAGGTTATCAGATCAATTTAGTGCAATACAATAAGATAAGTAGCACATTTTCATATTTAGAAAGCTGGAAGAAATACCCTTATTGGTTATCAAAATGGCTGAAATGTGTTTTTCTGTAAATTATTTTAATTGTTTTTGAATAAACTCTTGGGTCGTTCAATAATCTACATCAAAACATCATATTTAAGGTATTCATATGTTTTTCTATGAGTTTTGTAAAGTATTCATTTAGGTTGTCACGTCAATATATTGCCCTAGCAAGTACAAGTACCTCAAATGTGGAGTTAAATACATTTGTAAAGTTATATTGTAGCTCAGTGGTGAAATATATCTGCATGAAGTGAAGTGCACCAGCTTTAAGTCGACATATTGCTGCAGATATAATCCACCAGCTCAATATCCTCATTAACTGACTTTACTATAATCCTTTAAAGCCTGTGTTGTCATCATGTTTTAATAACCCAACCCCGTGCTAAAGTAAAGTCCGTATCCATAGCTTAAAGAAAACAAGCGCCTTGTCTGCCAAAATCATTTCATTATGTAATGTGTTCCTACAAGAAATAAAGAAGATGTGGGGAAATGTAATGAAGTTGACTTATCGACATTTAGAATAAATCGATGGTTGATATTAATGAGTTATCTGCGGTGTATCTCATATTTTACTATCCTAACCATCTTTAAATAGGAAATACAACTTAAAAAGTATACACACATGACTGAGTGAAAACATATAATATATAGACAGAAACATTTGATTTAATTTGAACACCAAACAAGACATGTAGAGTAGATTAAACCAGGGGGGAACAGACTCAAATACACTTTTAAACAGGATTTGGTTTAGCAAAATAAAACATTGTGCACTGCAGACACCAATACTTCCCTTTTTTATTATCATGATTTTATTTTGAAAGTGCCTCTTCCTGTCTGGCGCGTATTGATGGTTGCTGTCTTTATGCAGAGTAGAGTAGAAGTACTCAGATCTTGTACTTGAGTAAAAGTAGAAGAACTCAGATCTTGTACTTGAGTGAAAGTAGAAGTACTCAGATCTTGTACTTGAGTGAAAGTAGAAGTACTCAGATCTTGTACTTCAGTAAAAGTAGAAGTACTCAGATCTTGTTCTTGAGTAAAAGTAGAAGTACCAGAGTGTAGGAATACTCTGTTACAGTAAAAGTCCTGCATTCAAAATGTTCCTCAAGTAAAAGTAGAAAAGTATTATCATCAAAATATAGTTAAAGTAGCGACAGTAAAAGTAGTCATTATGCAGATTGGTCCATTTCAGAATAATATATATGATATGTTTTATAATGATTGATCATGAAAGTGTTCTCAAAGCTGGTAAAGGTGCAGCTAGTTTGAATGACTTTGTATACTGCAGGGTAGCTTGTGGATTTACTCCAGGTGGAACTAAAGTCTGATTCAACACTTGATTATATTTCACATCATTCATCCACATCTGTAAAGTCACTAAAGGTATTAAATACATGTAGTGGAGTACAAGTACACTATTTACCTCTGAATTGTAGTGGAGTAGAAGTACACAGCAGCATTAAATGGAAAGTACAAGTACCTCCAAATTGTACTTAAGTACAGTACATGAGGAAATATACCTTAGATACTGAGTACTCCTCCCACCTTTATGATATTGATTTTATGATCAATAGTATTCATTTTCAAAAGTGTCACTATGGGTCAAAGTGTTCCATCCTCTCCATCGTTCCTCTGTGAACACGCTGCCATCTTGTGGCTCGTCACTCTCACTCGACTGAAATCACACATTATTTAAAGGTCCCCTATTATACTGTTTCTCATCAATATATTATAGGTCTCAGATATATACAGAACATGTCTCTGAAGTGTTTGGCTACAAACACCCAACAGATCATTGCAGCATCCCATAATCCCCTCTGTTTCAGCCCTGTTTCAAAAGGGCTGATTCTCTATCTGCGTCTCACTTCTCTTAACTTCGATCCTTGCGTCCCTCACTTGCATCTTTTGCATGGAGAGACAAGGGTTTAGGGTTAGGGTTAGGGTTAGGGTTAGGGTTAGGGTTAGGGTTAGGGTTAGGGTTAGGGTTAGGGTTAGGGTTAGGGTTAGGGTTAGGGTTAGGGTTAGGGTTAGGGTTAGGGTTAGGGTTAGGGTTAGGGTTAGGGTTAGGGTTAGGGTTAGGGTTAGGGGTTAGGGTTAGGGTTAGGGTTAGGGTTAGGGTTAGGGTTAGGGTTAGGGGTTAGGGTTAGGGTTAGGGTTAGGGTTAGGGTTAGGGTTAGGGTTAGGGTTAGGGTTAGGGTTAGGGTTAGTGAAACCACGAGAAGGGACAAGAAGCAGGGAAATGAGTTTTAAGAGCAATGGGACGTCCTTTCCTCCGGAGCGTCACGTGAAGCGACGTCCGTTTGTGATGACTCCGCACAGCTGATCGTCTGACAGCAGCCCTAGCAACACCCCCGCCTCTGTTAGTACACATTTACTGACATAAACATTTGTATCATCTGTTGTAGACCCAAATACATTAAAATAAAATAAGAACTCATAATCAAAAAAGATAAACGCCATTCTAAAAATGTATAAACGAACAATAGTTTGATTCATATTGATTGAGTGCACAAAAGAATGAAAATTATTGAGAGAAGAAAAAGAGATATGTTATCTATCAAAACCCAGTTAGATTAACATTCATTGGATTGTCCACTTTGTTGTTCAGATATATCCAGGGGTGCACATAACTGGTACGCAGGTACGCATGCGCGGCAACAATCTGAAATGCGTACCGTCACTTGTGTCACAAAGCGCATTTGCGTACCGACGTACTTGTGAAGCTTTTCCAGAAGGCGGTTAGATCACCGGACGACAGAGTCGGTCTCCGTGTGCACAGACAGGGCTGCTGTTAACGTCGGTCTGTACAGCAGCACTGCGCTAAAACAGCTGATCACAACGTCCACACGCTCTGTGGTCACGAAACTCTGTACTCCACTACCACCCCCAGGTTGCGGACTTCAGGAAATGGGGAGATGGAGCAGCCGTCAACCTCGAGGATGAAGTCACCAACCTTCAGGAGCAGTGCCTTGGGTGCCACAACCATGAGCTCTGTTTTCTTGCTGTTAAGCTTGAGGACATTTGATGACATCCAGGTTTTTATTTTGTGCAGGCAGTTGACAAGGGACTGAGGGGGGAGCTGGGACGATGGAGTAGTGTTGAGATAGATTTGGGTATCAGCATAGCAGTGGAAGTTGAGACCGTGATGGCGGATGATCTGGCCGAGGGGGAGCATATAAACGGTGAGCAGGAGGGGGCCAAGCACAGAGCCTTGGGGGACACCATGATTGACTGGGGCTGGGGGGGGATTCGAGCCATTGATGGTAACAAACTGTTCCCTGTTGTGGAGGTAGGATGTGAACCAGGAGAGGGCGGTGCCAGTGACACCTAGGAGGTCAGATAGGCGGTTGAGGAGGATGGTGTGGGAGATGGTATCAAACGCTGCAGAGAGGTCCAGGAGGATGAGGATGCTGAGGCGGCCAGAGTCAGCAGCAATGAGGAGATCGTTGATGATCTTGATGAGGGCGGTCTCCGTGCTGTGATGAAGTCTGAAGCCGGATTGGAGGGGCTCATAGAGCTCATTGCTGGACATGTGCAGATGGAGTTGGCCGGCGACTACTCTTTCCAGAGTCTAGAGTCTATAGTTGCATTAAGGAATTTCCCCCCAAATGTCAACAAGTTTTAAATAAAGAGGCAAGCACATGGTAATAAAATAAACAGCACACATTGTTTTTATTATTTTTAGGAAAGAACATTAACTTTACTTGGAAATCTGAAGATAATGGATGATATGTCATAAATGATGTCTAAATACTCTTATTGCAGCTTGTTAATGACAGATAACACACCCTGCCTGTCACACAAAGATTAGTTGAAAGCAGTTAAACCCGTTCCCCTTGCTTCCTGCTCCCAAACACAGTGAGCTACACCCTATCAAGGTATTTGATTGTTCCCTCCCCTTCACAGGTTGGCAACAAGTAACAAGCAACATGTTAAATCAGAAAGCTGTTTCCTCA